TATGTCTAGTCATCAACACGACTCTAAATATATAATTCAGTTTAATCACTCAGTCTTATAGAGATTGATGGTCCGGATTCCAGTGACGGGTTTTCAAACGACTCAAGCGGACAATGTTCTCTTTTTATATCAATAGATTAGATACCGCCAAGTTATACTTGAAAAGAGATTGGTTACTTCTTTACAGAGAAACACAATAGAAAGCAACCGTCTATCCATACTGATGCTAATAATTATAGTTTCCATAGACTTCATCAAAGACACCATTGTTATCGCCCGCAGCTTTGCTTCTTATTAAATGACCCATCATACTATTAATTCTTATATTTACAATTTTTTTCCATCGGTATTTATGCAGTTAAGCTATCTTGGAATAAAATTAATGGTTCGTCTTCCGTTATATCAGATATTATGCCAACTTGATTTAATACCGGTACTACATAAGTATAATTGAAATGTTGACAAGGAGGAACTATCTTACACTGGATAAGCTAATAATAAAACCCCACAGACAAGAATAAATGTATGATAGATAGATATGTCATGTAAGTAATATCTAATATCAAGAATTAAGGAAGCTAGTAAGATCCCATGCATGTCTCAACAAACCATATATTTTGACCGCCCCATACAAATATAATTAAATCATTTGCAGTGATTTGTCTCGATGTTTTACATGCACTTTAGACATCTTTTAATAGTTTGTCTGATTAAGAAGGGCCTATCTATTTAAAGCATGAGTCGGGTGATTCCTTAATACATTTCTACCTTACTTCATGCAGCGTTTATGGCATAGACGTCATTACTTTTACCTGGGAGGTTAAACTTTACATTCCATTACTTATCACTGAAAGGGTTTACAACCATTTAGATACGTCTGAGTTCGCAGTTTATCATTTAAAGTGCAGTTCTCTATCAACTTCTCACCTGTTAATTATACAATATGATAAATATGTCGTGTCGAATTCATATTACCATTGCCAAAAACCTCTATGTGCAAAGATAAGTCATGGATAGTCAATTATGATTATTGCAAGAAAGCGTATTGAAAGAAAATCAGAGATTATTACAAAATGAAATTTTGCTTGGACCCTTAAAAAGACATGTAATATTATTTCAGACTCTGGTACAATTTTCTTCTAAGACTCAGTGTTTCAGACGGGCGTAATATTTGAGGGTAATTTCTTGTCTTAGATGGGGTGTAATATAGCAAATCATATGTAGATAGAAAGTCCAGAATTAACTTAAGTCGTTCACAATACAGGCATCATGACATGGTAATAAGTTATTTCTGATCTGTGTTAAGGCATCAGATATGTCTAAACTCAACATTCGTCACAAAAAAAAAAATAAATAAATAAAAATACAGGCGTTATAAGGATTAAAAAAAGATAGGACCCTTTCATGGTTCCAAAGTGAATCTTATAATCCATCTTTTATTATCCACAAAAGTAAACGGTGTGACTTTTAATAAAAGTTTAACCATGTAAAGCCCTCTATAGAATAGTTCTCGATAAAAATGAGTCCCTGAAGACCAAACAGTCAGGAATCCTTGACTAATGAATAAAGAGTGTAGTCGCACCTCGACGTTTCTTCATGGTGCCATTAAACTTGTATGGAATCGGGACAAGCGATAATCAAAACCATCTTCAGCTGTTGTATATAGACATAGTTAGCGTGTTGCAGAACAACGTGAACTTGTCTAAGATTGCTTACAGGTGTTCAATGGGTTCCATAGATAGATATCACATTTTACACGGCGTTGACAAGGTGAGTTCTTATACTTTAAAGATAGCAAGCAAGTTGAAACCCGCGTTTGGTTCAACAATACGTGGAGTATGAAAACTCCGAAAATCAGTTAAAAAATGATGATTTTATTGAATGTTCTCTATAAGGTTTATTTAAGGGAAATCGTTCAGTGACATTTGGGAATTCAGTTACTTATACTGACATTTAACGATATGTTTTCCCTAGAATAATTAGGTCATTTGTATTTATGGACACTGTTCTCGCACATGGCATGGTAATCGCGCCTTCTCTCCACTCGTTATCTTATTTTATCAGAGTTAGGTGTCATTGGCGCCAGAGTATATGGCTCTATTCTTTGGAATTTTAAAATAGACTAAAATAGACAATTAATGTAACATGAAGGTATAAAGTGATTTGTATTCAGTTTTTAAAATAAATATTATAACTTCAAATGTATTATGTACGGTGAAATACGTTTTTTTTATTACTATTTTGTCGTTTGTGAATAATCCAGTTCTAATTACTTCCGCATAGTTATGTAGGATATTTACAAATGGCACCCGAAACCACAGAATACATGACTCCTGTTCTGATTATTGTGTCTTAAATATTGGATATTAGGATTTCATATTTTCACGGCAAGATAACAATATCAATATTGGTTGAAATGGACCAATATTGAATTCTAATTCGTGTTGAAAGGTCGAAGATTATTGATAATATTGAGTTAGAGTTTTAGCTCCTTTAATGTTTTATTATATACATGTGCTTAAATATATCTTTGATTCATTTAATCTGGAGACGAATTCCTAATAACTATTTTCTCCTGGGTAAACTTCCTATTTACCACTGGATGTGGTAAGTGATGGTATAGATAAATGGCTTGCATGCACGTGTATATTATTTCAAGAGAGAGGGATCATTTCGTTCGGGACTAACACATGGTTCATTTTTTTATTTCAATAATTCGCTTGCGCGTAGGGGTCTTTACCCACAAGGCTGGACAAGCGGACCTACACCTCCTTGTCACGTACAGGCGTCGGGGAATAAAAACCACCCCGCTTGACTCAATGACAGACCCTGTGATCTAACGCGTCTTCATTAGCCCAGTCGGAGCAGAGCAGTAGAACGTTAAACCCATTTCATTTCTAACACGCATGCGTTAAACCACTCAGCCACCCAGCCCACCAGAAAAGCAAGACACTTATCCTCGTTCATTTCATTTCAATTAATTTTCTAGGCTGATGTATTGTTTTCGATATCCAATGATTAAAGAATTAGTTTTTGTTTTGAGGTAAATGGATGTGTTTGTTGGAAATAGACAAACCAATAAACGTTTATCTTATAAATTCTCAAGCTACCTGCCAGATCAAATGCTTATAAATTTAGCCAAGGTGTGTGTCTTAATATAAATAGAAAATGGTAGCACGCCTCTTCGTTAGCGTTTGAAATCTCTAGGCTATAAAGAATGGTAGGCCTACTGTCTGTACTGGTATGTTATCACATGCCACTAGAGTCAAATGCAAAACAGATTTCAGGGACCATCTGTCGATTTATTTCGCTGTTTATTACATTGAACATGAGCAAATTATTTTCTTGACGTAGCCTATTAGGCAAATATTTATATTACAAAGCAAGCCCAGGTCTAATAGTTTATTGTAAATATAGCGCGATTGTTGTTAGTTTTACTTCATAATAAATCCAGTGGCGTTTTCATTCAGAGGCGTTTTAAGTAATGCATATGAAGTATTGTAGAAATCTGACGTGCATAGCCGGTAAATGTTTTGATTTTTTGAGCGTAAGTATCTTGAACAAATTACTCTTTAGAACATTTGTTTTTGTATTACGACCTCATAGAAAGAATACTAAGAATAGTTGTTTATTCCCCAGAAATAAAGCTAACATTCTTTTTAAAACAAAGAAGAAATAATAAGTCATTTGGTTTCATTTCATTTTGTCTTATAAACTAATATGTTAGATATATATTTGAAGGCGTTAGAATTTTATTTTGAAAAGTGTGGAGGCATTTCTAATGTGTACTACTGTATTGTTAAAACTATTGTCGATTTTATAATTCAAAAGTGTATTTGTATAATACTGACTTTGTGTGTCACGTGTTTTCAAAACTTGACTTTCATTTTAATAATTTTTTGATTGTATATCTATTTTGAATATTAAATGTTGAAGACTGAGGTTATTCATGATTGGCGACTTGCGTGATGTAATTTCCTTTAATGCTGCAGGTGATGTAATTATCCAGGCCTCTATTTTCAAATAAAATTCTGTTAAAACCATTACTATTACCTGTTTATGGGTTTCAGACATTCCACGAGAATCAAATCATGAAAAAGAACTGGTCCTTTATCTCTTTAACACGTGATTTTATGCCAATTAATCTTCCTTAGAATGGCAGTATTGAATTTTTCAGGTAACTGTTGGATCTAAACCATGAAGGACACTATGGATATAGTGATGTTAATTAGTGCTCGCACGATAACCCTAATTAAGCAATAATTAGTTAGAGAAAGAATCCTTTAATTTTCTATACTCTTCTGTTACTAATACTTGATGATATATAATGTATATAACGTTCAATCAGTAGATGCTATATAAGTATAAAATCCGATCTATTCGATTGTTTGAAATTACTAAACAAACACTTAAATGGATTAAATGAAACTTCTATTGCAAGAAAATTTTTTTTAAAATCCCTTCATCTGCCAAATTCAAATATTTGTTGAGGACACTAAAATTTAAATTTTAAAACGCAGAATTTCGTTTTCATTTTATTGACACCTGAGTAGAACGGCGTAATAAGAACGGTGTAAATAAGTGTAATTTTCATTATCACCTTGTCGAAACTAATCACACCCTGGCATATTTTATCTTGGCTTAAATATGAATATCTATTTTAAACACAGCTTCAATATTAGAAATAGATTATGACAGTATCTGATAAATAGAGAGAATGAATACGATCATTAAGACTAATATTAGTCGATACAGTATGTTTAAAAAACTAGACTATTTATGTAACATTTACCTACTGGTATAATAAATATCCTCACCGGGGTGGATGTAACCACATATTTGATTGGAAGACCATAAATAAATCAACAAGTCAAAAGGTTACAGGGGTTGAGATAGAACAGATTGGGTTTGTCTGGTTTATCTTGAGGAATTAAAAGAACAAAAAAAAGTCATTATGTAGACTATATAAAGTTTGACCGATTGTTCTTATATTCTTTCAGACATGAGTTACCGGAGAGAGTGAGAAGACAATAACAGTGAGAGGAAGGAAATATGGGCTCGTGGTTGATGCAAGCAGCCATATTTATCATATCAGGAAATGTTATTGATGGTAAGCATCGTTTTATTATCTCGTATCCAAGAACTAATAGAGCCATCATGGGACTTGTAATCTGCTACAGAGGAATTTCTCAAGTCTTAAGGGACTTAAATCGTTGACAGTTTTTATAAAAATTGGAAATATATTATACAATTTCCAATGATATTATCTCCCAGAGAAGCTTAACGAAATAGTTTTTTTCTGTATTTATGAATATATAACCATGAGAACTATATTGATTTTGTAATAGTCCTGGCCTTCGTATAATTATATTACTAGTATATTTTACCAACTGCTCAAGGTACTTATTAATTAGTCGACTTTAATTTAGAAAATTTTAAAGATATCTACAACATGGTCAATAAAACAATGATTAAAGTTGATGTCTTAAAAAATAAATACAGGTTTTCACCTAACCCAGAAGCGATGGTGCAGATTTTACCTGTTATTTTGGGCATCCAGCTGTGAGAAAACTATTTTAAGGAGGCGGAAAATGTGTATTTCATATCATGCTGTTGTTATTTTATGTGCGAAAATATGTTAATAGAAGTAGCTGGCAACTTTGATTAAAGTAGTTAAGCAGTGGAGTATCCGTTTCACCAGAATCGTTTTAAAAGATTCACCGTGGGCTGTTACGTCTATACAATAATTGATATAGAAAACTATTAGCATAAATATTATAACAATACAAACAGTAGACAAACCAGTGTTTGGTACTTATATTAACTTTTAAGACATCACCACATCGCTTAGAGAATATCTGCCGAGTGTTTCCGTTATGTTTTTCATTTTTGTAAACAAAACTTTCATAATAAATTAACTTTGTATTCGGTGTATTAAATATAACTAGCCTCCAAACATATACCTTATCACAGAACCTATATAGTTAAGAAACAGTGGATCTGTGACTGTCCCATTTTTGAAATAAAAAACCTTTAAAAATGACAAATTTGTGTCTTACAGTATACGTTTATTTGGTTTTATCTTATTCTGATATATCGTAGGGTCTTCACATTTCTATATTATAGTTTGTATTTTTTTACACTTATAGCGTACCTTCTCATGTAATATACTCTTCCAAAAAAGTAGGGGATATTGAAATGCAAATACCTATGCAGGTTGCGATATGGTAAATAGTCACGGACACTTGACATGCTTTGAGAGTATGTTCACAGATGAAGAACTTATCGCCCCAACAGAACCACTGAGCTGCACATGCGACACGCAATAGCGCCATACACGTGTGTTTGTGTGTGTGTGTGTGTGTGGGGGGGGGGGGTCATTGTCAAATTTTACACTTCAAGGAAGGGTTGAGGAAAACTGCCGCGTGCTGGTTTATCCTATCCATGTTTGCTTTCCTATCGGTTCTTGCATAAGATTTACTGTTTAGCGAATCTTTGCTTTAGTGTGTTAGGCTTAATTTGATCGGGAGACGTGTTCGTCGACATCAACGTCAACCGTCAACACTGCAAAAATTGGCCGTGGCACTGCAAGAGGAGTGGGTCAGATTGCCCCAAATCGTGATTGGACGGTTGATTAGGAGCATGCTACGACGCATTGCTGAATGTCTGGGGATCGGTGGAGCAATTACTCATTATTAAAACAAAAATAAAAAAACGTCCATTTTCACTCCTGACAGTGTATCTCTTTGCGAGTGAAATGTTCATGTGTAGGCAATTGGCCTGTTATTAACATACACTGGTTACCTCTAATAAAAACAGGAGTGCATTTCCGCAGTTTTGTATTGTTTCTGAATATCCCCTACTTTTTTTGAAGAGTATATATGTAAGAACCGTGGCGGCGGAGACTGACTGCTCACGCAACCAGCTCACTCCACTGTCAAATAAAAAGAAAAAAAAAGGAAACAATCGACAAGAATAGAGCACAAAACAAAAAAGCCAAGACAATTATCCATTATTTTTTAGTCTTCATAATTTAAAGTGGTTTGATTTTTTTCTGACAAAGTGGCTATTACATTTTTTTAGCTCTTGAGTGCGACGTCAGTGTCTGTGCATACACGAATATTATTCACGGCATCGTTAAATTAATTCAGATATTTGAATGGGATAAAAAGACATCAATATTTCGTGATCAAATACAACCATACTTAAAATGGGACACCTTCTCTTGATTTAGGTAAATAAAAGATCATTTTATTCGTTGGTCGATTTGCATAGGAAGATGGCAGTTCAAAACCTACCTATCAGATAAAGCCAGTGCTGAGATAACCGATTATGTGTTAAAGCCAATGTGGAGATAAAACCGGTTTGTGTTAAATCCACTGTTGAGATAAAATCGGTTGTGTTTTAAATCCAATATTAAGATAAAACCGATTGTGTGTTAATTATTACCAATGTTGATACAACAACCGATTGTGTGTTAAAACCAGTACTGGGGTATAGCCGATCGCGTATTAAGACCAGTGCTGAGATAAAACTGACTGTGTGTTAAATCCAATATTGAGATAAAACCGACTGTGGGTTAAAGCCCATGTTGATATAAAACCGATTGTGTGATAAAGTCAATGTTGAGATAAAAATCGATTGTGTGTTAAATCCAATATTGAGATAAAACCGAGGGTGTGTCAAATCCAATATTGAGATAAAACCGATCGTGTATTAAAGCCAATGTTAATATAAGATAACACCGAGTGTGTGTTACTTCCAATATTAAGATGAAGCTGATTGTGTGTTAAAGCCAATATCGAGATAAAAACCAAGCTATTTCAGACACAGTAAACCACCAAACTTCGTCTCAATATTTCGAAACTGTATAGAGCTCGTCGCATCGCTATAATCAAAATAACTTTTCAACTTAACCCAGTTTATCTCCTTTAAACATTTTTGATCAACAGTCATTAATCCAGTTTATAGAATGTGTATACAGGAATTCAAATTGTATGCAACCTATTTTATTCGTGGCGTGATATCCATGTCTGACCCCATTTAATTCCCCGAAGCAGAAACGAAAAACGCCATTGAAGTTGTTTTTATTAAACATGTAAAGTTATACAATGCTACGAATGGTTTATGGAAACTGTAAAATAATTGCTTGAGTCTAGTCGACATAGCAGTCACAATGTCAAATTGACAAAGAAAATATGAAACTAATATCAGCTATAAAGAAATTCAATACAGCCACGGAAGACTTTGTTCCACGCTAAAGTCGTTATTACGTTTTTCCCCACTCTTACCCCGTGTTGGCCTAATAATTACTTTAGAGATACAAGCAATCATTATTTTGGTTACATTTTAAATTCTGACATATATTTGATGTATTTTATAAAAGCGAATCTTTTATTGTTAAATATTAAGTTACGTGGATAATAAATGAAAAGATGAATCTTGTTTTTGTTAAGATTTTTATAATCTTGGAAAATCACAGAATTACAATGTGTTTGGCAATCTTGGTACAGATGTTTAATTGTTAATAAGCGCCAAAATGGATATGGAATTTACATTAAAACTTTTCTGCAATATTCAATAAAATTTGTCCTTAAAAATATGATTTGATTCGCTCCTCCTCAATAGATAATGGTAGATATTTTGTAAAGGAATTGAGTCGAAGAATTTGGGATGAAATACACGACAGTGCAAATCTTTACTGTACATATCGAATCTTGTCTTTCACTATTCATTTAAATTCATAGTTCTTATTTGAAGATTATCGGTTCGTTGTAAACATTTTCAATTCCTTCTCTCAAATCGCTTAGTGGATATCCAACAAATTTGGTGTGTGCCTTGGAGATTCGCTGGTGCTTATTCAAACATGATTCGAAGAGACAATGTTGACCTTCAGATTCATAGTTATATCGTTTTACTGGTGCCTATTTAAATGTCCCCAAGTTACTGGGTCCACATCATGATATATGTATTCCCTACAACATCTCTGGGAGAGTGAGAAATGGGTTTTGCCGACCACTCAACACAAAATAGGTTTTCAGAACTAACATCTGCTGCATTTCATTAAAATAATTCGCTTGCAGAGGAAACGGCTAGGGGTAAAACTGGGGGAAACGATGATAACTTTCCAGGTTAGGAAGGCGACCATACTCCTTGTCACATACAATCTACATGTAGGGATCGAACTCCTTCATTTCAGAGATAGTATACCTTATGATCGACATCACTCGCGTTTGATCACCATCCTCACCCATTCCAAACTGATTGTTCGCTGTAACGATGGTCGATTATCTGTCCTTGTTTACATGGCGTTTTAGCAATTGGCGGAATATAGCGCATCATTTCTTTTCAGATGCACATAGAGACTAGAACTCCGAAGGAGTACTGACGTGTCTCGATACGTCAGGTCACGCTTTGTCACGTCAGCAATCAAGTTACACCATGAATTATTCCAATACCTATATAAGTGGAAAAACCTGTCATTTCAAGTTCTTCATCAAACCGAACCTTTTGATATTAACTGTTAGTTGACACCAGGGTCATCATTTAAACAAAGTTCAAGGTCATTGAAAGGTTAGGTCACCAGATAGAAGGTCAAAAGTAGAACAAAATTCAAAGTGAAACCGGAATTAAACGAAATCGAAATTGAAAAATCGGCTCCCTAAGAATTGTTGCAATTTGGAGTAGGTTCAAAACAAAAAAAAAAAAAACGTTTTCGAAAATCGGAATCCAAATTGCGAAAGAATATCGATTTAAAGTTTTTTTTGTGTAAAATCCAATATGGCGACAAAACGGTTGAAAATACTACGTGTTTCGACCGTAAAAATGGAGAGCAAATAGACCAATAATATAAAAAAATTCCGCGTGATAATGTTCATGTTCCGGAAAAATCGGAAGACCTCGGTAATTTCCGGAAGATTCCGAAAGCCGTCTCAAAATTTTTTAATACGCCATTTTAAAGGCATCGACATGTTCCTTATTCCTACCAAGTTTCAACTTGATACCCCAAAAAGTGACGGAGATACGCCATCATGAATGTCGGAAAAATGATGAAGAAAACTTTCGCAAATCTTTGATGCTAAAACTAATAGAGCGAACTTCCGAATTTCGAAAAACCGCCATTCAGAGCCCATATGAGATTCGTCCAAAGAACCAAAAATGAAAAATCGAAGAAGATCCGTTAAGAAATAACCGAGATATGAGCAACCGTAAAGTACTTCCTGTTTGTCAAAAGTAACCCAATTTATATTTAATAAATAAATGATGAAGAAAACTTTCGCAAATCTTTGATGCTAAAACTAATAGAGCGAACTTCCGAATTTCGAAAAACCGTCAGTCAGAGCCCATATGAGATTCGTCCAAAGAACCAAAAATGAAAAATCGAAGAAGATCCGTTAAGAAATAACCGAGGTATGAGCAATCGTAAAGTACTTCCTGTTTGTCAAAAGTAACCCAATTTATATTTAATAAATAAATCCACGGAGGCCAACAAGATCTACGTTGGCAGTTTTGGCTGCAAACTCTGACTACCCCCCCCCCCCCCCCAAAAAAACCATTAACAAAACTAAAGTAAAAAAAAAAAAAAAATAAAATAAAAAAAACAAACCCCAAAAAAACCAACCCACTTACGTGTTTCGACCGTAAAAACGGAGGGCAAAGTAGACCGATAATATAAAAATTCCGCGTGATAATACAATGGATTAATATTTATGAACATCTTCCCTATATCACTACATACAGTGAAGCAATTTCCCTTTCATTAAACCCGATATACTCCACGCCATTCCTGTATTATGTTATCAATCATAAGAAACAAATTTTCTTACTTCATCAAAATCTAATAGATTCCAGAATGTCAGAGTGTGAGTATTCAGAGGTTTATTGAATTGGTTATTATATAGATAGCAAGTATAGTTTTAAAGCTTGACATGTGTCAGGCATGTGTGTCTGATACCATTTCTTATTTTATAAAAATAATTTATACCTGTTCTGAAAGTTCCTTGATATCGAGAAGGATTGCGTTTAGGTGAAGTAGGCCTACTAGCTATTTTGAGAAGCACATGTCTTCTAATTATGACCAGCGAAAGGATCCATGGATGAGTGTTAATAGGCTATAGGTGCCGGGGTGCTCTAACACTCGCGTTTCATTTCATAATCCAAGGTCTATCATTGTGTCAAGTGGCGTGGTGTGACTTCCGGTTTTTCCTTCCACTGCTAAAGACCTCCTTATATACTCGAGCGAATCAATGAAACAAAAGCGATAGTCACGAAATACCTATATGATACATCTCTCCATCTCGGTTTTTCCAAAAGCTTAATTATAAAATAATTGTATTGTACATATTATGCCCATCTTCATTAGCCCCGTTGGTGCAGAAAAGTAAGACGTTTAATCTTAAACAGATTTTCCATATTGTGTATGTTCCCGGCTTTTCTGCATCAACGAAGTACATAGCGTAATAATATAATGTATTAATGGAAAGTATTGATGTTTATAACATATAAAACTACATAATGTAATGATATAATGTATTAAATATTAAATAGTATTGATGTTTATAATATATAAGAGTTCATACTGTAATGATATAATGTATTAAATATTGAATTGTATTGATGTTTATATGAGTAATTATGTCTAGATCTCCAATGACATTTAACATACCGGTTATATTTATTTACACCATCGCTGCACTGAAGACAGCTTTCAGATTAAAATTGGTATACTAATCTCAACATATTTTTATGTAGATCTCCTTCGGGTCACATTAAATTCATGACGTACCATTTTTTTTAAAATCTGTTTTATTTTTATTGGATCTTGCTCTGATTTAATTTTATATTTCTAAACAGAGCATTAAGATTTTTCGCACGTAATACCTCCGCCGTGGTTTGCCCATGTCAGTTGTGCACGACGGAAGATCTGTCAAGGATCATTGGCTAGTTGTTCGGATAGGATAAAAAAAAACGAGGTCCTGTGTACACTTTGGCGTGAATGACCTTTGATAGTTGGAATTCGAAATAAGAGTAGGACCAAAGCACACCGCATGGGGTATGCCCGTCTTCATTAGCCCAGCAGAAAAGCGGGATGTTAAACCATTGTATTTCAGTTCATTTCGTAATACATTATAATTTACCCTCTTCCATATTTTTGAAAATATCTTTGAATCTACTATATGACGTCTAACTAATTGTGCCCGATATATACGATTGGTCGTCATCTTGTCCTACAAAACTTCTTTGTGAAATCAATACAATCTTTGACATTCCTCTCTATATGCAAAGGGGGTTTATTTAAGCCTAATACGGTATATCTGTAGTAATCCCCATCTTCCTTCACCTTATATTTAAGGAAATTTATTGTAAGTTTTACGGTGTAATCCCGTTTTTAGTTGATGGTGGAAAGTTATTTTTGTAGACTCTGTCACATCTACTGACTAGTTGAAACCGCGATGAATAAAATTGATTAACTGAGGCTTAGTTTGTGTTTGAGGGAAAGGTATCTTTCTTCTAAAGTAAGCTACAAATAATCTCTTTGATTAATTTGTCTACTGTCTACCCAAATCCCCCTGTTTACTACTATGGCAACACGTAATGAAATTAGCTATAGAAAATGTCAAAATGGTAAAAATGTCGTTTAAAAATAAAACGGCGATCATTATCATAGAAATTGACGGAAAAATTCATATTATAATGTGTCGATATTTCAACAATATAATGAGTAAGTGCGTTAACACTTGAGATGATGACATAATATTTGGATACCTCCCCATCTTACTGTATTTCTTTTAACATTTCTTCTATCGATTGAATTGTTTTCCTTAAAAACATATATTTGGTTAAATTTTTTTTTTTTTGCATTTAACATTTAGCTCATAAGGAGAATTTTATAATCTAATTGTAGTTCTTCATGAAATGGCTAATGTTCTTCTTTGGGCATTAGGCACAAACACAATAGACCAATGCTTTGGAAAAAAAAAACGTTAGCATACTGAATGTTTTATCCTTTCAGCTGCATCGAAAGGAAGTGTTTTACCATTATCCAATGAAGACAGACTGGTGAAAGAGATTTTACACGCTTATAAAAGGCGTGGTAAATATGGAAGACCGGTGAAGAAATATAACGATACTCTGAAAGTGTCTTTTAGTATACAGTTAACCCAGATAATGGATCTAGATGAACAGAATCAGATTCTAAGTTTGAATATATGGGATGAATATGTAAGTACTGTATATTATAGAACATAGTGTTAACTTATTTGTTATGTGAAGTCGCGGTGTTAGGTGTAAGCAATGGGCGCTGAGACAACTGATTTTGGACGAGGAACAAGATCCTGTAGGGGCACAAACCCCCACTATTTATATTGTTGGAGTACCTTGAGGGTTCTCTTCCCCAGGCACACGGAAATTTTTGGGGTGTGAGACATGCTAGAGTCGATCTGTACCATATTTGTAGGGAGTTGGGGGATGGGTTGCTGTAGTTTACATTGTTAAACGTTATGGAAAGATACGTGATTTATAAATACCTGTTCGCAAAGGGCAATCGCATTTCATAAAACGTACTGTATAGTTAAAAAGTTTTATAAAAAGCAGGTTATGGTTTGAGAGTTCGATATGACAGAGTACATTTGTGACAGTTATATAAAAGAATTCATAATCCTGAAACATGCCTGAATGATTTTAAATTAAGTTCTAATTAATTGTTCAAGTTAGGGTTCAGTAGGTACTAAAAAGGGATTAACCCTTTAGAAGTCTTCACCAATCGATAAAAAATGCAATTATCGATTTGCCCTGATTTTATTATTTTTTTAAAGCAATATTTATTCACAGAAACTGGATTGGAGAACAGGCAGACTCCCTCTCCATAAAATACAAACATAAAATATATTGAAAACATATACTGATTTTATTATCTCGATGCATCAGGGGTTTGAAGGTTGAATGAAAAGTTTCCGATAGATCTGCCAACCAATCGCTGAGATATACATGTTTTGAGATTCATTACGTTTGGTACACGTAGCTTTTTATTCTGGGTTTTAAGTTTAGCGGAAGGCCTTGCAAAATGCGTTGTGCTAAGTGTAATCGGGTGAGCCTACGGTTAAAATGAATATGACGTTATATAAAATAAATTTCATTTACCCCCTTGTTATAAAAGATTAATATTTCTTTAATATGGGAAATCGGATTTTAATATCGCAATCAGTCTTGAATTCTGGCAGCAGCAGCAGCAGGTTTTTGTTGTTAAAAGGATTGCACTAGTGAGAATGATAAAGACACATGTATACGGTTGGCCATGTCTGTCAAAATATGCAGAATTCAAAATGCTGCATTGTGTTTTTGACTGTGGAAGCTATTATATTATATATAACCATATCACCGTGAAGAGTTCACTAAATGTCTTAAATGAGAGAGAGAGAGAGAGAGAGAGAGAGGGGGAGAAAGAGAGAGAGAGAGAGAGAGAGAGAGAGGGGGGGGTTACGTCCAATCGACACAAACTAGGCCATTTCGAGACTAACATATGGTCCAATTTTATTTCAATAATTCGCTTGTGCGTAAGGGTCTTTGTCAGTGGGATGAAACCGGAGGACCCGGAGAAAACCCAGGATATTGGACAGGCGTCCCTACTTCTTGTCACGTACAACCGGGGAATCGAAACCAGGCTAGTTGGCTCAATGACAGACCTTATGATACAGCGAGCATGTGCTAACCATTCGGCCATTCACCCCCCACCCCGTCTTACATGCAGTACTCATGGCATATTCCGAGACCCCCCCAACACACACACACACACACACACACACACACACACCCCTACCCACATCCAGCTGCCATTAAAGGGCATACTTCCAAATCTACTGTCCGTCATATATTATCATTACTTGACCTTTACCTTTACCTTTACAGAATAATAAAAATTAACCGTTTTAATTGTAGATTATTACCAGTAGCCCTTTTATTTAAATATAATATGATTGGTTTATATTATTTCATATCAAGAAAGACCGAACGCCAAACAAATATCAGATAAAATGGTAATAATGATCTCATATTGCACAGATAATGGATAGAGCACGTGTAACTGTCAATTGAATAGAAAGAATGAATGAAAATAAGACGTTAAGACAATTCTATCGATTCTATGTACATAACTGGGATGAACATTAAGTCCTTGTGGATATAACGCTGTCTATCTGTCAATTTCTGTCTGAACTCGCAAGGCCGTATCATTCATTGCGATATGTATCATATCAAGTTGTAAGTTAGACTGCATGGCTAATGTCCCCTTTCGTGTTTTTAATAAAATACTTGATGTTCGACACACTTGGGTGGATTGATTAAGATAAACAAACGAGATGCCATGTTGACGTATGCTATTCACTATTCAATAGAACTACAATCTTCTTTTTTTATATTGTCTACTTTCGGTTCTTTATGGTACCACACACTATGATAGTCTGTGCGGTTATGAATGGCTTTCTAGTGTATAGGGTATGTGCTACTGTTAAATCCTCAATTCATTTGATTTATGTGGACGAACTTCACCATTAATGGTCCATGTACTTAATTCATTGATCAGAATTTAAAATTTATGGATTCTACCGCAATAATTCTTTTTTATGCAATAATTGAAAACAACCCAAAATGTGTTGAGAGCTTTACAATTATTTTATCGGTTTGTTGATTTTTACTCCTTTTATTTGACTTGAAATTCCTTTGGTATCGCCAAAAAGTCTACCGTTTGCTTTAAACTCTTACATAAAAGAAAAAGTGTTTTGATATCTCTGTTTTATCACAGCACATCGTTCGCTTGGAAAACACAGCAGTTACAAATAGGTACAAAACCTGTTCAAATGAAGCCAAATAAAAAATTTCTGATTTGATTCGGTATCACAAAACGCTCAGAAGTTGTCGGCAAGTAGCTTACTTAAGTTTCTTTACCAACTTGTAAAATCAATATAAGAAAACACCACCGACGGCCTGCTAAAAGCTTTAAAAGTTTGGCTCCAAACTCTCCTCAAATATTATTAAAAGAAAATTACAGAGCCAATTTCTTACACTTCTGTTCTTGTTCAACACTCGAAGCTGACAGACGGCAATTTTAAAGTAAGTAATGGTTTCCATGCGAGTGATGGAGAACAGTACAACTCTCAGTGGTGTCGCAAAATAGGCAACTAACGTCTTCGCGTTCTTCTCGCTCTGAAATTGAATTTCTATATTCAACAGAGAATATTCGATTAAATTCAGTGAGCATGACATAAAACTTACATCCAGTTAGTCAAATAACCACAACAGTATAAGGTGCTATAGAAATAAGCCAGAAATAAACATTATGGGTGGTTACCGAACTCAATCATCTATTGCAGACTCTCGGAAAGTTAAAGTAACATTATCAGGCGAGAGCGTGAAGTCCACTAAACACTAACCAGGTCATTTCGGGATTAACATAGTTTTTTTATATTTTGTTCCAATAATTAGCTTCTCCGCATAAGTTAAGAAAACCCGAGAAAACCACCGAGGTTAGGAAGTGTTACGTGAATATATATTCGAATATATTGATAGCAAAATGGGCCAAGTCTAAATATGAACTAACTAGAAGAATGGCAGGCTTCGCTCGGGGGTCATAACCCCGAAACACCGGAAGTGGTAGACTAACGCTACCTGGCCTATGTTACTCCCCGGTCCGAGCTACCCCTATACCCCAAATTTCAGACTCTCGGCAGACCTAGTGTAGCCGCCAACCCCGAACAGACAGACAAACAGACAGACAGACAAACGACAGTCACAAATATTAGTATAGATAGATAGATTAGTCTATGGACAAAAAGATGATAATCGTGGAAATAGTCATTAATTTCAAAATGGCAGACCTGTGTAATTGTATGGGGATCAAAATCTGAACGAGAAATCGCCCAGTTGCTTCTATTAAGCAGGAGTCCGTCGTAAGTAAAATAAGTTTTTAATGCGTAACAAATTTAATAACAGAACCTTTATGCAACTTAATTATGACGTTTATACAGAAAAATTCAATATTGAAAGTTTGAGATGGTTTAAGAACTATAACCAATTAATTTTAGTTAACATTCATACATAATCGATTTAATAGACGTAAATGCATTCATATTGGAAATGTCAATGTCTTTTTTAAGATTAGTATCTATTTGCTAAAATAAAAAAGAAATGCATTTTAAAGAAACATTTAGACAGTCGAAAATATAAGCAACCCCCGGGAATATATATTTGTTGTCGAACATTATACATTGTAATATAAATCTATGTCAACAATTTCTTTTAGAAGCAATTCTCTCGAATGCTATTTCCATTATGTGGTATGCGGGGCCTTTTCTCCAGATAATAATCCAAGAGGTTATTCTCTAGGTATGATAATACATCCAGTTAAATTTAAGGGTTATTCTCTCGGCATGTCATTCTCTAGGTATGATAATTCCATCATGATGTATACGGGGTCCTTTTTTCTGACATAATAATCCAATTAAATTTAGTAGGGGTTATTGTCTCGGTATAACTTCATATGAGGTATGCGCGGTCTTTATACTGTCTTATAAAGCTATAACGGTAAATCTCTTTGATCGTTGGGGTATATTTTATCCCTGGAATAACTTGAAAGTTTTTTTCTTCCAGGGTAGGTTTTTTTCCCATAAGAACACATGATATAAGGTTTTTCTTACTGGAATTCTGGGACGTAATGTAAACATAGACGGTTTATAAGCAAGATAAAGTTCTCGACTTCGGTTATGCAGGGGAAGAAAGACTTCAGAAAAAACCCTCGACAGAAAAACCTCGGCCTTTTCTTTTTCTCGGGTTATTTTCTTTAATCTTTCTTTCCCCAGCATAACCGAAGTCTCGTGCTTTATCCTACACATATTAATCCAATTAAATTTAGTAGCGGTTATTGTCCCGGTATAATAATAACTTCAGATGAGGTATGCGTGGTCTTTATTCTGCATAAAGATCCAGTTAAATTTAGAGGTTATTCTCTTGGTATAACTTCATACGAGGTATGCGGGGTCTTTATCCTGCTTCATAATCCGGTTAACTTTAGAGGTTATTCTCTCGGTATCATTACTTCATATGAGATATACCTGTTTTTGTATTCTGCACAATTTAGGGGTTATTCGCTCGGTATGATAACTTTATATGAAGTATGCGGGGTCTATATCCTGCTTAATAATCCGGCTAAATTTAGAGGTTATTTTCTCGGT